CATTACCATTACCGTTGCCATTGTCATTGCCATTGCCAATCGCTACCCCCTTACCATTACCGTTACCATTACCATTACCAGTACCATTACCATTACCTCTGTCATTACCATTACCATCACCATTGCCATTGCCATTCGTCACTACCATTACCATTGCCAGTACCATTTCCACTCCCATTCCCATTACCATAGCATTACCATTACCATGAGACTACCGCTGCCATTACCATTAGAATTCTCATTCCCATTCCCAATACTATTACAATTTCCATTGTCATTACCATTACCATTACCATTTCCAGTGCCATTACCATTACCATTACCATACCACTATCATTTCCATTCCCGTTCCCGTTCCCAGTCCCACTTCATTCCCATTACCATTACCATTACCACTGCCACTGCCATTGCCATTACCATTACCATTACCATTACCATTACCTTACCATTACCTTTAACTTACCTTTACCTCTACCCTTACCATTACCATTACCATTGCCATGGCCATTACCATTGCCATTGTCATTGCCATTGCCATTGCCATTGCCATTACCATTACCGTTGCCATTGCCATTGCCATTGTCATTGCCTCGCTACCCCGTTACCACTATCATTACCGTAACCATTACCAGTACCATTACCATTGTCATTACCATTACCATTACCATTACGATTGCCATTGCCATTGCCATTGCCATTCGGGATTTCAGTAGGAATCATTCAGTGGAGGGTTTCAGTAGGAATCCACATGTGGAGGATTTCGGTAGGAATCATTGAGTGGAGGGTTTCGATCGGAATCCTTCTGTCGAGGATTTCACTGTGAATCCTTCTTATGGGGGCGTCCAATAGGAATCCTTCTAGGGGGGAGGGCAGATGTGGCCACGTCGCATTCCTTTTTTTTTCTCCTGGCGCCCCCCCCCAGAAAAACAAATCAAAAACAAAAACATTGTTTTGTTTTTCTTGTTTTTTTTGGGGGGGGGCGCCAGGAGGAAAAAAAAAAAGGGCAGAGAGGTAGCAGGAGGGGGAGAGGGAGGAGGAGGAGGAGGAGGAGGAGGAGGAGGACGAGGAGGAGGAGGAGGAGGAGGAGGACGACACTGAGCAGAGTGTGCACAGAAACAGTCGCGAACTCAGCGCGAAACCCTCGCGCGCGCGCTGTGGAACCCCAGCGACTCCACAATCCCCCGTTCTCTCCTCCTCCTCCAGCTCCTCCTCCTCCTCAGGCGTTTCGCGCTCGGGCTGTTGGGGCTGCCCAATTTCGCGAAGTACAGCGCTCCGTGGCCCCATACGGAGCTCCACCGAAGTTTCCAGTGGCGCAGCCCGCATGCGTCTTCCACACCCGGTAAATCGTTTCGTGGCCCCATAAGGAGCTCCACTTAAGGTTCCAATGGAGCAGCCCGCATGCGTCCCACACACCGAATACAACGTTTCGTGGCCCCGTAGGGAGCTCCACCTGAGGTCCCAGCGACGCAGCCCGCATGCGTCTCCCACACCCAATACAGCGCTTCGTGGCCCCTTAGGGAGCTACACCGAAGGTCCCAATGGCGCAGCCCGCATGCGTCTCTCTCTCTCTCTCTCTCTCTCTCTCTCTTTCTCTCTCAGAAACACGCACACACAAACACACACACACACACTAACTACAAAGCTTCGTGGCACCATAGGGAGCTCCACCGAAGGTCCCAGTGGCGCAGCACGCATGCGTCTCCCCCACCCAGTACAACGCTTCGTGGCCCCATACGGAGCTCCACCGAAGGTCTCAGTGGCGCAGCCCGCATGCGCCTCCCACGCCCAGTACAACGTTTCGTGGCCCCATAGGGAGCTCCACCGAAGGTCCCAGTGGAGCAGCCCGCATGCGTTCCCCCCACCCAGTGCAACGTTTCGTGGCCCTACAAGAGGGCTCCACCGAAGACGATGCCTACAACTGCGGTATTCACAAGTGCATCTGGTTGGTTCCTCCGCCAGGCTATATTTTCTGGCCAATGGCAACGTCTTCATTGGTCGAACTACTCCGTCGATGCGCCGCGCCGCGCGTACGGGAAGCGCGGTGCCGCACCGACGCGCGCCGTGCCGCACGGTCCCCGCACGACCATCCAGGCCGCTGGCTGTCTGCGTGAACGGGTCACCCAGCAACGCCCACTGTGCAAAGGACGCCACTGACAAACTTGGCCCGCGCGCACCTGGCTGCGCCTGCCGCCCTCGGGCTCCACCCGGCTCCGCCTGCCTGCGTCCAGCCAAAACAGACAGGAAGGATGCGCGCTAGGGATGCAAGCCCCTTGGACGCCCGCGTTGAAGCTTTTTCGAGCGCGGCGGGCCATCGCAAGTAGTCAAGGATGGACCGAAGAGGCAAGGATTCAAGGGAACCCTTGGGAAGGCTACCCATCCTTGCCATCGGTTTCAGTGCAACACTCGAGCGGACTGCCTGTGGGTCACACAAGCCCTGGGCTGCGCCTTGCGCGCATGCTGCCCACTAGGCAGCCCGGCGGGATTCTCTGCACTAGGCTCGATCAATACAGCCTGCTTCAATCCCACGGGCCCCTTAGGTTGTCTTGGACTGACAGGGGCAAGCGAAAAGGTAAAAACGCGAGAATACCTCAGATGATGATGATAAGGATGAGGAGGAGGAAGAAGAGAGAAGAGAGTGGGCAGGAGGCAATGGATGATCCAGGGTTGCCCCCTCCTCCCTCCCACCCACTGCATATGGGATCGAGCCCCCCCCACTGGATGGGTACTCCCGTGAGCTTCGCAGAGGCCTCGCAAAGGCCCCCGCCCTCCCCCTGTGAGTATGGGGTGGTTTGTTGTCGTCGTCGTCGTCGGCGTCTCGGCGTCGTCGACGTCATCGTCGTCGTCATCGCTGTCGCCGTCGTCGGCGGCGGCGGCGGCGGCGTCGGCGTTGGCGTCGGCGTCGTCGCCCCCCCTCCATCTGTGGAACCCTGGGGCCCATCCCATCTTGGGGAGGGGGGGGGGGCTGAGAATTCTCGACGAGGGATCTGGTACAATCAGGCTCCTCGGCATGCTGCCAGGGTCTCCAGCAAGATGCCCAAACAAAGGCCAACGATATGTTCTGCTGCCAAAAGCTTCTGGCAGCATGTAAAAAGTAAAAAAACAGGATCACTGACAGTCTCATCTCGTGCACCTAGGCGCTCTAAATGGGCGCAGCCCTCTAGGGAGGAGCACGAGGAGTAGAAGATGAGATGAAGGGGGGTAAGGGAAGGAAGGCTACGAGACTGCACGTGTTGTGGAGGCGACGGCTGAAAATGCTAAGTGCTACTACCTACTGAGCAGGTGAAGCAACCAGTCCCAGACATTCTGCGAGTCCTCTGATTCATCGATAATATGTTCACCACAATCCCAAACAGCCTCGTCCGTCTTGACCCACCCGTCCTCCGTCCACATGGAGTTTGGGTCGCAAGTTCGGTTGCACGCGAACCAGTAGTCATTCTTCTTGTAGCACTTCGCGTCAGGATCAGCGCAGCACTGGGACAGTGCGCAAGACGCCCCGTTTGGAGAGCATGGGAGCCGAATCTCCTCACAATCCCAAACTGTCTCGTTCGTCGTGACCCATCCGTCCGCCGTCCACATACTGTTCGGGTCGCAAGTTTGGTTGCACGAGCTCCAGTGATCATTCTTCTTGTAGCACTTCGACCCAACCTCAGCGCAACACATGGTAAGTGCGCAAGACTCCCCGTTCGGCGAGCAAACGGAGGCTGTCGCAACATCGGAGCTACTCGCGGAGTCTGACGAAGCACCAGTGTCAGCGGCATTCCCGGCACCGGAGTCAGACGAAACGTCGGTACTGTCGATGCTGATGACTTCGCAATCCCAAACTGTTTCGTTCGTCTTGACCCAGCCGTTCTCCATCCACATGTAGTTTGGATTGCATGTTTGGTTGCACGCAAACCAATAGTCATTCTTCTTGTAGCACTTCGAGCCCGGATCAGAGCAGCACTGAGTAACTGCGCAAGACTCCCCGGGCTGCGAGCACGGCGGCCGAATCTCCGTGCAGTCCCAGACTGTCTCGTTCGTCGTGACCCATCCGTCCACCGTCCACAGACTGTATGGGTTGCAAGTTTGGTTGCACGAGACTCCAATGGTCGTTCTTCGTGTAGCATTCGAGCCAGGCTCAGAAAGCACTGCGGACAGCGCGCAAAGACGCCCCGGTCTGCGAGCACGTGCCGTTCCTCGTCCTCGGATTGCTGCATTCAGCAAGGGGATCCGCTGATCTCAATGCGATTCACTGTGAGGTCCCAGCGCAACCCAGACTGTCTTCGTCCGTCTCGACCCCAGCCGTTCCTATATACACATGCAGTTGGGGGGCCGCAAGTTTGGTTTGCACGAGCTCCATTAGTCGTTCTTCTTGAAGCACTTCGCCCCTGGCTCAGAGCAGCACTGGGACAGTGCGCAAGACGCCCCGTTGTGCGTGCACGGAAGCCGAATCTCCTCACAATCCCAAACTGTCTCATTCGTCGTGACCCATCCGTCCACCGTCCAAAGACTGTTTGGGTTGCAAGTTTGGTTGCACGAGCTCCAATGGTCATTCTTCTTGTAACACTTCGCGCCAGGCTCAGAGCAGCACATGGTAAGTGCGCAAGACTCCCCGTTCTGCGAGCATGCGGAGGCTGTCGCAGCATCGGAGCTACTCGTGGAGTCTGACGAAGCATCAATGTCAGCGGCATCAGTGGAATTAGCGGTGCTGTCGATGCTGATGACTTCGCAATCCCAAACTGTCTCGTTCGTCTTGACCCAGCCGTTCTCCATCCACATGGAATTGGGGTCGCAAGTTAGGTTGCACGCGAACCAATAGTCATTCTTCTTGTAGCAACTCGCGCCTGGCTCAGAACAACACTGGGAAAGTGCGCAAGACGCCCCGGGTTGCGAGCACGGCGGCCGAATCTCCGTGCAGTCCCAGACTGTCTCGTTCGTCGTGACCCATCCGTCCACCGTCCACAGACTGTATGGGTTGCAAGTTTGGTTGCACGAGCTCCAATAGTCGTTCTTCTTGTAGCACGTCGAGCCTGGTTCCGAGCAGCACTGGGAAAGTGCGCACGACGCCCCATTCTGAGAGCACGTGCCTTTCTCGTCCTCGGCTTCTGCATCAGCGACGGGATCCGCGGATTCGACAGGGTTCACGGTGAGGTCCTCGCAATCCCAAACTGTCTCATTCGTCTCGACCCAGCCGTCCTCCATCCACATGTAGTTGGGGTTGCAAGTTTGGTTGCACGAGCTCCAATAGTCGTTCTTCTTGTAGCACTTCGCCCCTGGCTCAGAGCAGCACTGGGACAGTGCGCAAGACGCCCCGTTTGGCGTGCACGGAAGCCGAATCTCCTCACAATCCCAAACTGTCTCGTTTGTCGTGACCCATCCGTCCGCCGTCCAAAGACTGTTTGGGGCGCAGGTTTGGTTGCACGTGCTCCAATGGTCATTCTTCTTGTAGCACTTCGCGCCAGGCTCAGAGCAGCACATGGTAAGTGCGCAAGACTCCCCGTTCGGCGAGCAAACGGAGGCTGTCGCAGCATCGGAGCTACTCGCGGAGTCTGACGAAGCATCAGTGTCAGCGGCATTCCCGGCACCGGAGTCAGACGAAACGTCGGTACTGTCGATGCTGATGACTTCGCAATCCCAAACTGTTTCGTTCGTCTTGACCCAGCCGTTCTCCATCCACATGTTGTTTGGATTGCATGTTTGGTTGCACGCAAACCAATAGTCATTCTTCTTGTAGCACTTCGAGCTGGGATCAGAGCAGCACTGGGACAGTGCGCAAGACGCCCCAGTTGCCGAGCACGGCGGCCGAATCTCCGTGCAGTCCCAGACTGTCTCGTTCGTCGTGACCCATCCGTCCACCGTCCACAGACTGTATGGGTTGCAAGTTTGGTTGCACGAGCTCCAATGGTCGTTCTTCTTGTAGCACTTCGCGCCAGGCTCAGAACAGCACTGGGTAAGTTCGCAAGACGCCCCCGTCTGCGAGCACGGATCGGTCTCGCTGGGATCCCCGCCACTCACATTGCTGGCAGCCTCGACAATTATAGCCTCGGGAGAAGCAAGAGTCGCGGCCCCCGTGGAGGGCCCCGCGCGCCAAGCCACAGCCAGCAAAGCCAGCGCCGCCGCGGCCGCCGACAGCGCCGCCGCCCCGGCCAGAACGCGCTGCTCGCGCGGCGCGACCGGCGCCCGCGCGGGGGCGATCACCCCTGGCTCGCAGTCGCTCTCGAGGGGGAGCCGGAGCGGCAGGAACTCGCTCCTGTCCGCGCGCATGGCGGGCGAACGATCGAGCTGCAGCGGGCGCCTGTCGGGTGGGAACGCGAGTCTCGAGCCTCGAGTCAGAATGACTTGAGCCAAAATGACTGCGGATATCTTTGGGCACATCTTGGGGCCTCATCCTGGGCGACTCAGGCAGCACCTTGGGGGCTTCGGGGGCCACCCTGGGGCTGTGTTGGGCAACCTCGGAGACTCTGGGGGCCGTCTGTGGGACATGCAAAACGTTGGTTTGCCCTTTGGGGGTGGCGTCCAATTCTAGGCAGCCCCCCCAAAAAGGTCCGGGTAGAAAGGAGTGGCGCTTTGGGAGTTTGGGGCTGATTCGTGACAATGACGCATTTGCATGCTGTGCTTGTCGCACCTCGTTGGCTCCCCGACCCTTTGTTCCCGGGGCCCTGAAGCTTCGTGCGAACTCGAGGTGCCAAGGCCCGCCAGTTCGTCGCGAGCGGGCTTCCGGCTCCCCCGTCGGAGTAGGAGAACGCCCTGCGGCACCCCTACGTCCCCTGCTCGCACTCCCTCTGGGCGATCACGTCAGATCTGGTCGGTCACGCCGCAATCGGCCAGCGCAGCAGCGCAATGCAATCCGCCAGCTGCATCACGTTGCAACGCCACTGGGGGGCTGCAATGGGCTTGGGGCCTGCAATCTGTTCCAGAGCGCAATGGATTGCTCGACGCTTGCGTGCAATGCGACGGTCGCAAAACCAAAAATACAGTACACTTGTCTGGCGCAGTACATTTACAACACCGCCGCTCGTCTGCGATACATGTTTGCAACGCGTCGTCCGCGCGCGTTGCCACAGTGACGCGCACTGTGACGGAGTCAGCACTCCGTGCCAAGCGTGCGAACTCTTGATGCGAGCACTGTCGTGGATGGTCTGCCGAGGTCTTCGAAAACACGTGGAGACGCCTGTCTGCCCTCTGCCTCGTTTCCTTGCGTGCCCGAGGCCGTTTGCAGGCACGGGCTGGAACGGACGGCAGGTGGGCACAGCCACTTTTGCACGGGCCCGCCAGATATTTCAGTGCCGCCATCCCCTGTACCCGGACCTCCTCTTGGGGCTGCCCAGGCGACTGGCAGTGCGAGGGCAGCCTAGACCGGCCAAAGGGCCACCCTTTTCTGGCCTCTTGTTCTTGTTCGGATCGGCCCCGTAATGACTACAACGCAGGGCGACACAGAAGACACAAGGCAGCAATTCAGCAACAGATCTCGCAGCCTCGCACTCTCCGTGGGATCTGGCGGATGCTCGCTCACACGAAGACACGCCCACGCCGCGCCGCTCCAGGCAGCTCGGCACGGCTGAGCCAAGTCAAGCTGGGGCTAGCCGACAGGCCAGGCATCCACAGGCACCGGGGTCATAAGGACAGGGGAAGGTTATTGTCTACATGTTATTTCTGGTAGCAGTCGTTACCACAGCGGGGGGTCGGGCCCAGGTAACGGTAACGCTTGGGGTGGGTGGGGCACGTCGGGACAAAGGATACGCTGCGAACGCCGTGCTATGCGCGCGATGATTCGCACGGGGGCGGGATTCAAGCTCCATCATACGCACGATCGTGACCGTTATCAAAAGGGGGGGGGGGCGGGGTAAGGGCCAGGGTCACGACCGTTATGCGCCAGAGGATTTTCAACAACAACAACAACAACAACAACAACAACAACCATTTTAAGGCTGTACGCTCTTACTTGCCCGCGAGTCATTCAACACGTATACCCTACACCCTCGTCTTCGATCACACCCCTTTCGGGGGGATTATTTCTCTTTGCTGGGGCCGGCGGGCTTAGACGTACGGGCAAACCGGAACGGGCGGACAATCCTTCGGGGCGTACATCTCTCTGCCCGCCATTGGAATTGGCGCGGGCCCTGCAAGAGGAGGAGGGGAAGAACGAGGGAGAGTGGGAGGAAGGGGACGGGGAAGGACGAAGGAAGAGGGAAGATACCACGTTGTGAAGGCGTCCTTGGCGCGCGCGTGGTTCCTGAGCGCCGAAACGCAATTCCAGAATAATTTGTGAGGACGTCGCACGCGAGAGCGCAGTCCTGAGTACATTGTGAGGAAATCTCGGGCGGAAGCGGGGGCCCTGACTAAGTTGCGAGGAAGTCTCAAGCGGGAGCGCCGTTCCTTAGCAAATTGCACGGAAGTCTCAGGCGGGAGCGGGGGTCCTCACTAAATTGCGAGGAAGTCTCAGGCGGGAGCGCCGTTCCTGAGTCAATTGCGCGGAAATGTCAAGCAGGAGCGGGGGTCCTGAGTAACATTCGAAGAAGTCTCAAGCGGGAGCGCCGTTCCCACGTAAATTGCACGGAAGTCTCAGGCGGGAGCGGGGGTCTTGATTACATTGCGAGGAAGTCTCAGTCGGGAGCGCCTTTCCTGAGTAAATTGCGCGGAGGTCTCAGGCGGGAGCGGGGGTCCTGAGTAAAATCTGAAGAAGTCTCAGGCGGGAGCCGTTGTTGTTGTAGCCCGGGGGGCAGGGGCACAGTTTGAGCAGGAAGACTTTCCTTGAGAAAAAACAAGGTGCGAGCCCCGGGGGTGGCACTTCAATCGAAAAAAATCAATGTGCACCGGTGGGGGGATCAACAAAAATTATTCTTCAAGAATGAAAGTTCAACAACAACAACAATTACTAGCACGTGGGGACACTCCGTTCTCACCAGTGCCAGGGTTTTCATAGGAGGCGGGCAATACCCCCACTTTGTGGGGGGGCCGGTTCAAGCTCTACCAAATTTCCAAACGACTCTTCGCCACCACCCACACCCAGCTTCCCGCCCTATGACGTTCGGACACTTCACTTCGTGGCATGCGGACGACCGTGGCTACTATTCAGGGCCCCGCGGCCGACGACGACGGCGTGCGCGCGCGAAGAAAAAACGAATGTGTCCCGCATGGTATTATTTGACAGGGATGATGGCCCTGGCAGGTGCGCAACCGTTGTTGCAGAAGTTCGAAAAAGTTGCTCGCAAAAGCCCGTTTGACAGAAATGTTTTAAAAAGTGTTGGGTTTCCTACGAATCCGCAAGAGCGCGCGGGATGAAATTTCGACATTTTTTGTTTGAAAAACCATTGGTTTTTTGATGTTTTTTATGTTAAAATCGCTACGAAAACTAAGGTTTTGGAAGGATTTCGTCTTGCGCGCGCGAATGTCCACTTTACCTTATTGTTTGCAAGGGATTCTTGAAATTTGATTATATTAGAACAAGAAATGTCATTTTATAGTGTTTTTTGCAAGGGAAAACGGATTACAACAAAACAACCGGATCTGGATCACATCGTTTTACCTGAGGCTTCCTCACGAAAAATGATGAAAATGTAGCTGCGGCCTAGGCGCTGGCGGGGGGGCCGTTGCCAAGGACCACAACAATAATTATTCTTTAGAAGTAATATGTTCAATACAACAACAACAACAACAAGAACAACAAACAACAACAACAAAAAAATCATTAAAGAAAAAGTCGCCCTTAGATTTGCTCGAGTGTCGATAAAGTTATTCCCAAACCCTCGATACCCGCCCTCTCGTCTTCGATCGAACCCCTTTTGGCGGGTATACCTTTCTTCCCTGCAGGCTGGGCTCCGGCAAGCGGCGGGGCGGCCGCGGACCGTCGGCCTGGCCAGCGGCAGCGCTGATCGGCGGGGCGGCCACGGACCGTCGACCCGACCCCAAGAAGGATGGACAGGGGACCGACCACGACGACGACGACGACGACGACGACGACGTCGAAGACGACGGCGACGACGAGCGAAAGCGAGAGCGAGAGAGAACGACAGCAGGGCCACAATGGGCACGAAGTAGGCCACGAAGGGCGACAGCGGGGACACGAAGGGAATGCGTATGGGGCCACGAAGAGTGCGAACGAGCGGGGGCC